AAGTCAATGGGATTTTGATGCATCGCAATGCATCGTAGAATCCAATTGAATCGAATCGTTACCTGGTGAATCGTAATCGAATCGAATCGTGAGGGCAGTGCCAATGCACACCCCTACTAAACAGTTAGCTTAAGGATTAAACGTAGATAACAAATTACTAAATAAAATTAACAAAATTAGCAAATCACAAAAAGAAAACAATGAAAAGATTATGCAGCAGATAAAAATGTGAACTCTATGGTCTTCCCCTATAGTGGAACTCCAGATGGTACGACCCAATCAATCAACCAATCGACCAATCAATCAACCAATCAATCAATCAGTCAATCAATAAATCAATCAACCAATCAATCAATCAATCAACCAATCAATCAGTCAGGCAATGAGGAGTGTGCCAGAGACCAGAAAAGGAAGCACAAACAACATTAAACATTTGACAAAATTAAATATACAAAAGTTAACCAAATATGCACGCTATAATTGGAACTAATGTTTTCTAATATTGTCAAAATAAAAATAAACAAACCGATACTTTTTTCCTACCGTGTTTTAAAGCTTAAAGGGAAAATGTGTGGGGTTGCTGACCATGTGACCATCACACGGTTAAAATTGTTAATCGGTGATAAACAGTTTAAAAGGGGATTAAAAATAGCATTTTAAATCTGGATGCTGAACTTTTTAAAGTTCGACCAAACTCCTGCTTTCTCACTGTAGCTGTTAATAATGATGAGTCCACAGTTGAGGTTGAGGTTAGTCTTGCTGCTTGTTTATCTCTCATACATTATAAACGCCGTTTTATTAATTTCATGGCTTCCGTTTATTGGCCGAGGCTCCTAAAAGTGGCGCTTGAAAGGAACTGTCTGTTCTGCAATAACACCAGATGATGTTGCAACACATATGAAGGTTGCACAATAAACATGAGCAACATTGGTCTTATGTGAGCCTGTGATGCAGCTAATAACCAAAAGTCTAAACTGTAACTTATGCCGCTAGTTTGCACAATTTAACCTCATTAATGAAGAAGATGATGGTCAAAGACTCTCTCTGCATGTAAAGCAATAATCTG